CAAAAACAACACTTTATTCTTTACTACCGGTAATTGTTTTTTATGATTTAGTACTATCATAGTACTACTGTGTATTATGTTTATATAATGTTAAGCTTTGTCTCTTTTGAAGTCAACCTTTTACTGTATGTATAATTCACATAGACTACACCAATAGTCCTGCACGGAAATGGCCTGAATGCTAAATTACGACCTGTAAAATTTGGTAATCAAATTTGTTTGACCCCAGGGGTACATAATTATTGGACAGAGACATTGAAAAGCTCACATCTCTATTGTCTGGCATCACCCAGCCCTGCCCATGCATTATAGATGTAATAACGCCCAGTCTGAGGGTTTGTCGCCTTCCTTTTACATGTCCATTTGTCTACATGAGCTGATGTATGAAGACATCTGCTGCCAATGGAGGTCTATTAAAAGTGGCAGCCGCGTGCTTTGACCTCTGTGTGAGGTCACTTGGTTTTATTCTATATGGACTCCATGAATGTCCTGTGTATAGTTTGTTGTGAACATTTTTGAAGTTCATACATTATAATCTATTAGTCTATTTTTTATGTGGTCAGGTGATATATTTCACTGGAAATGGCTGTTTTTATTGTTGCTGTGACATGATATTAAAACTACTTAATGCATGTACTGTAATATCTCATAACTTCAGAGATTGAATTAGGCCGTTTGTGGTCCGTTACAGTATATATACCAGTATCTGCCATCTGGCTATTCATAAAAACCAACATATTTGGAGTTCCCCATTTGAAAACTAGCTATGACTGGTGTCCACATTGAATATAAATAGTCCTTTGCTGTTATTTATTCACACATTACTGTTTACAACTTTGACAAGGTAGTATATGGTCTATATATGGCTATTTCAGCCAGACATGAATTTATATTCATTGCTTTTTTATGTGTCACACCACATATACCACTGCTGAATGAAATCTGTCTAGTACAATTGTATATTTGGCAGTAACATTAATTTTACAGTTCTCGTGTGTTTTTATAGGGACATCTGTTTTACATATGAATGTAACGTTTTGTTTACTCCCTCCAAATAAAAAGTTATTGCTTTCCTTTTGTTTTATTACATGATTTGTTAACTGACATGTTTATTTGTTTCATCTACCAGTACTGAGTCCTTATAAATTAGGTCACCAGGATCTGACCTATGTGTGACCCCTTTGTTAGTTTCCTGACGAGGGTAGACAGGAATGATTGTTGTTCTTTTTGTTTGATTTTTCATAAAGGACAATATATTTTCCATGCCTTCATTTAAATCAGATCTGCTGACAACATAATTTTTTACCTTAATTTCAGGAGTTCATTGGGTGTTAGGGTTGATTCCTGTCCTGAATGCTATGTGGGATTTTTTTTTCAAGGGATCAACATGAAGACTTAACAAATTTGGAAACATACATGTAGTAATTATTGTCCCCTTACATATACCTGTGACACTTTCCAGAACTGCACTGTTATGGTTTTTGGTGGTTCATGATCATCTGAGGTCTGCCAATTTAGATTCCAATCTGATTATTACTAATATTATTCCCTTGAGGCAGGCGTCTGGGTCATATCACAGATCTTAATGGCTTAGAGCCACCAAAATTTTCTAATAGCCCGTCTGAGGCCTCTCAACCATAACTTTATGGGGATTCATCGTCAAAAATGTGCATTATGGTTCCACAATAAACTGTGTGGCATTTAGAATTTTAAAGATCCCTGGTCAGATTATGATTATGTTAGAATCTATGATCCCGGGTTTTCTAATAGCCTGTCTGAGGCCTCCTAACTATAACTTTATAGGGATTCATTATAAAAAAGCTTGCATCGTGTGGCTTTCAAAATTTTAAAGATTAAGAGGCCAAGTACATCAACCAGGTATAGGTAATTTAGTCCCCCTTGTGACTGTCCTTGGACCGGCAAGATTGTTTTTGTCAGAAACTTTGAACAGGAGAAGTCGACATTACGGTTGAATGGCTTTTCATGACTGTTGGGCTTATACAATATTCCAGACTATGAATTAATGATGTTGGAGATGTTTTAATAATCACACTTTTTACAAAGAATAATTATGAATGATACATTCGTGAAATAATTTTAAGATTCTGTAGGTAGTTTTTTTCTCTCCTCCTAAATTCTTCTACAAAGGCGTTTCAAGGAAAGATCTGGAAGTGCCAATGGTATAGTTGAGAAAATTTGATGTGTATTGATTTTGAGAGTTATTAGGACCGATCTATACATACCTTCTTATCATGTTTAATGCGTCTCCGATTGCCCGACTGCCCTAGATGTGAACTGGCCTGTGTCACCTACTATATTGATGTACCTGCCTCTTTATTTATACTCAACATTAGGACTAAAGGTGACTCAGGCTTTAAGAATGCTGATCAATGAGGGATAAACAAATGTGGTAGATGACAGGAAATACCCCAGAAAGTTAGCAACAAAATATGATTTTGCATGCACAAGAAAGTTAAACAGACAAAAGCAAACTAAACAGAAAACAGCCAACAGTTGAAAGTCATTTCATAAATAAAAGATAAAACAGTGCTGCAATCTGCTATACTTGTGAATGCAGTTTTAAAACTTGTTTTCCCGACACCTGTTTTCTTGGATGACCCTGACCAACTTTTGTAGGTCAACCTGGAGAGCCCTATAATCATACCAATCCCATATATGCTGCATACTAGTATGTAGAGGCAGACACTGATCTCTATTCAATGCCAAGAAATCTCAGACCTAGCGTCCCAGATGTTATTGTATGTAATCCCATAATCATGTCTATCCTGTCCCAGCTGTTCCAGCCATTGTTTATGGTATGTAGGTAAGCTGGAGACTGGTGAGACAGCATTCCTGTAGAGTTACACACTGCTAGTGCTAACATAGAGATAGGAAAATACGTAGGGAACACCTGTATTATGCCTGGAGCATTTCTATATACCTCTGTTACTGTGAAGTCAAGTAGGATTTGAAAGGAGTTAAGTTAAACTTTTGTAGTTGGAACAATTCCTTTGTACAGTACATTGTAGAAATATTGTGGAAATGCATACATCATGTGACAACATGATCATGATTCCACAGTGGAGAAATCACTGAGAAAACTGCCAAAGCAAGACCATCATGAAATGTTGCATATATTGTACTGTGAAGTTTAGAAATTTACTGTTGCTGTCAGATACATCTGTATCATAATAATATGTATCATAATATTTGACTAGCTTAGCTAAGCTTTGTACATATATAGGAAAACACAGCTACAATAAATACAGTATTGAGTACTAATATTCTAATCTTAAAACAATTACAAAACATACAAGACTGGAGTACCTACATTTTTGTAATGTGTAAAATATGTATTTCCTTCCATTCTCAAACCTTCACAAAAGATCACATATAAATTTTCCACTATATATCTTCCTTTGAAGAAAGGATGTCTTCCAAACAAATGACTCAGATTATTCGTTCTTTCAAGACGTTACCATTTCCTTAAGTAAAAGTGCTTAATCTTCATGTTCTCCTAATAAGATGTCATCAGTACTGGTGACTGTGGAGTCTCTGTAACCGATAAGAGTGACCCACATTTTACAGCGCCAGGATAAATCGCTGACGCCATTTATAACACTATTAACAGGGACGGTAAAAGCGGGGATGTGGAGTTTACTGTCATTACCGTCCATAAATGATGCCGCTACTTTTACATCGTTAGGAAAGGCTCGTTAGAGGGCCCAGCTCTCTGATTAATCAAATTAGTGGTAGGCTGAGGGTGTGAGAAAGCAGGCTGGTGGTCTTGAGGGTGGTCATCTGGTGGTCTTGTTTTTTTTACGGGTACGATAGAATAGATACTGGTATGTTCATATTTCTGAAAGCCTGTAAGACAGTGTTCTAGCTATACATAGCCAATCTGAAATTTTTTTCCGCCACCTTACTTGTTTGACGTAACATTATGTCATGTGCCAATTTCACGATTGCAGTGCGATAATCCTAAGGGGGTCCTGGTAGACAAAGTTTTGTTTGATGACATCTCTCTATATCTTTCCATGCCTATTTTTGTCCGTCAAAGATGATGGATTGGGAAAATTTTTGGCAAACACAACTTCTGTCGAATGAAAAAGCGGAGGCTGGCTGGAACACTGATATAATATCAATTGTAACAAATCTCTGGTGAAGCTGTTATGCACTGGTACACTAATACATGTACTTCTGAGGTTGTAACAAATTGGATGGCTGCCCAGTTTAGACTGCTGAATACGTTGTGTTTTGCTGTCAGGGTATAATATGATATATATATTTGTAAGTTGTATTGTGGAAACAAGCATTTTCATTTGATCTATTGTGCAATTTGCAAGCGTAATATGGTAAGGTAAATGGAGGTTAATTTTAAGCTAAATAAAATTGAAATCCAAGAATATTTGAAAGAAGAGACCTTTGTTTCTGTAAATGTCCATGATACCCATAGGATTTACAGGCAATAAGTACAAATATCATGTTAAGGATGGTGCCTGCCTGTCTACATATACCCAGCTTTGACATTTCCTTACAAATTGTTCAATTGTTTGATGGAAAATGTTGAAGGAGGGTTGTCTTTTTTCCTCAAAAGACTCAGTTGTCACCCTTTTTCAACATGCTCACAGATTTCCTGATACATGTTTTGCAATGGATTATTACACACCTTACAGGATTCACATGTCTTCTGATGGTATGGAATTACCAAGATTTGACTGAAAAATCTCATCTAGTTAGCCCAGGTCTTCCTAAGAAGTTATGGATTTCAAACTTCACCAAAAGTAGGGTCAGTGATTGCCCAAGGGGTCAAATTGTGGCCAAACTCCCCCAGGTCTGGCAAATTATTCTCCCTATTTGGCTAAATTGTCCTTTTTTGCAGCCCAAATTTTTAGTCTCTTGGAGCCTATCATTTAGTAGTGTTGACTATTCCATATTCCATGTTCCAAGTTTAAATGATGAAGCATTGATACTAATTTAACATCTCCTTTTCTCCCCAGCTTGTATATTCTCTAGGACTTGTAGTGTACAGAGCATTAGACTATGGTCTGAGTGAGTCGGAGGAGCGGGAACTGAGCCACCCTCTGGAGGACTTGATAGACAGAATGACCAGCAACGACAACGACGACAGTCAGAACCACGACGAGGGGATAGAAGATTCCGACGAGGAAATCACGTCAGAAGACACGGTCAAAACGTTACAACAAGTTGTTAAGGTCAGTGCTGTAATCATACTTGTGAAATATTTGTGAAAGTCATTTTTGTTGAACGGCTATGATTTGAGTTTTGTTGTAGTCTAATGAATTATACTAGAAATCTTAATTCACCAAAAATAACACTAGAAATCTTAATTCACCATAACTGATTATGTGTCTGGATATATGTTTTCATACACTTCTTTCACTTCAGTGCCTTTTTCTTTTGTATGATTACGTTTATATGATTTTATAAATGCAACCATTGGAAGGCACAACCATCATTTCAGCACCATAGACAGGACTACAGTTTTTTTTACTTCTAAACAAATGTTTGCCTTCATTTAGTGTCTGATATAAGTATATAAAAGCTGCAACTTTCACCATAGTATTGTTAAGCTATTAGTTACTTGTCGAATACTTGGCATATTGTGTACATATCATTCTAATGACATGTTTTTGTTACAGGTTTTTATAGTAATGACACACATTTTACAAATGCTGCATCTCCAAAAGAAAAAAATACATCAATCCTAATAACTACACCAGTATAATTGGCATGGAAGAATTCCCAGATGGTTTTGCAGTTAATAAGACACTTCCCTCCCAACCCACCGCCAATGGCACCTTCTCCTCACCCATGAGGCCTCTGATCAGACAGAGGAAGTTGGAAAGTGGCCAGCTCATTCCCCGCTGGAGAGGGCTGGGTGTAATTTGTCTGGGAACGGCAGCGGTGGTGTCAGGCCAATCCCTGGATGATGTAGCACTCAAGATGTTAGATTGGAAAGTTTTCCTGTAAGCCCGGTGCTCTGTCCTGCTGAGGTGTTTCATTTTATGGTCGAATGTTTAAAATCTCAAGTGTCATAAGATTGAGGAAAGGGAAGCTGTGGAATGATAAGAGTTGATTTTAGTTTTTAGAGGCAAACATGTTTTTTTGTGGATATTTAGATTTTGTGTCTGGCTTGATTAGCTGTCTCCTTGTATTTGATGTATGCAAAACTGGCATATCATCTGATTTCTTGATTATATATTATGTGGACATATCTCTAGAGAAATTATCTGGGTACTAGTATATAATTCCAGGCCAAGTATTTGCATAATCAGAGGATTGCAGACATTTTATCAAAACTAGAGGATGGGGTTTTGCACAAATTGGATTGGTTTGGATTACCAACCAAAATTTGATCTTTTTGATACTCTTAGGAAAGATACATATTATTTCTAAGAGAGAGTCATTCTCTTGTACAATTTCTATGAAATCTTTGTGTTTTTATCTGGATTTGTACAAAGAACAAAAAAATATAAGTCAGACTTTTAGGTGCTCGGTTTTATCGTAACATCCAGTATAGTAATCAAAGTTCCTTGACAGTCAAGTAGATTTAACAGTTTAGCTACGCTGCAAGAAGATAAATGAGGCTTCCCGAATGTTTGACTGGTGCCGCATCTCGGATCTTTTACAGGCGATTAGTCAAAGAGCCGTCAGAGATTTCGCAGAGTCGACCAATCAGTTACCTGCAGAGCCCTGCAGACGGTCTGTCTGCCTGCTTAGCACTTTAAGTGTAGGAACATATCACTGTTGAGTTATCCACACTGTATAATGGCATGTAGAGTACCACATAAAAGCTAGTGTATATGTTCTTTGAACAGCATACCCTTGAATCTGTATTGATTACAGGAAAAGGCCTCAGCAATCTAAATTGTTGGATCTTGGACTTTTTAAAAAAGAAATATGACACAACGGTGGTAAAAAACAGGCCTAGGCATCCTATGATAGCAACATACTAGGTTGGTTTATAATCAATGAATGTTGAACTTTTAATGAAACCTCTAGTAATACAATTTGATAGGTTAAAGAACTGTAACAACTAAGAAGAATATTACTTTCTTTCCACCATTGGGGCCATTAGAGTTGATTCAGAACCTGAAATTATTTTTTTTACGAATCAGAAAAAAAATAAAGAGGTTAAATCCAAAAATAGAATATTCCAACATATGTGAAATTTTATTGCATGTTTGGGTGAAAAATTCTGCCAGCTACCTTTGTGGGCCAGCCCCTGACCATAAAATCAAAAAGTAGGACTGCTGATCACTTGACCAACACATGTCAGTGACAGTCTATGCAGATGTATAAGCTGGAACCAGGCCATACTGTCACCCTGCCAGACTGTCATTAGACAGGGACAGATGGACAATCAACATGACATCTTACAAATCCCTGCTTGCCTAATCTTGTATTCAGATTAAATCAGAGAAAGTAATCTCTTAAACCCATCCAGAGTGGGCTGGTTTGATTTACGATGAGAAATTAATTGTGCCTGCCTTTTATGATTATTTTCTAACATGGTATAATATTATGAAATAAGTTTTAAATTTTGTGAGGATGAAGTACTGTTTTTGTATGTCTGCCTGTGTGCGTACGTGTGTATATGTGTCTGCCTGTGTGTGTGTGTGTCGTTGTGTGTGTGTGTGTGTGTGTGTGTGTGTGTGTGTGTGCATGTGTGCATACATGTATGTGTGTGTGCTGTGTTTGTACATGCGTGTGATGTGTGTGTGTGTTTGTATGTGGGTATATGTGGTTGCGTTTTTCAATGTGTGTGTGTTAATAATAGTGTGTCTGTATTATTGACAAAGGGGTGAAGACTGAAATCTCTGATTCCCTTGTTCATATGTATTTTGCATAATTCTAGCTGATATTCTGACCCCTTAATAATAGTGGCAGATGGAGAAAAATTTCTCCATGAACCCCAATCATCTGATGAGATAATCTCATTACTACAGCCTGCTGTGTACAATTGGATTATACAGGGTTTACCATCAATTAGCTCCCGCATTAGTTATGCATCTCGTAAAGTTGAGGTTACAGTTAGGGAGAAAACATGTCCTGGAAATCCCGGAATTTAATTATACATTAATTCTTGACACTAAGGTACTAGTACATGTGGTGCCTCAAATTTGCAGCAAATTTTTTTGTAGGGTAGAAGAAATGTAAATTCAAGGCAAAAAAAGAAAGTGGTACATAATGCCCCTTCAAAGAGATGGAAACATGTTGTGAATTTTTGAATCATAAACCTGTAGTGGCCTTTACCTTGTCAGGACCATGGTGGAGAAAAGTAATGTTTGCAAACGTCCATTTGTATTCATGACCAGTGTTCAACCTAATCATTACCAGTGCACCCTATGTCATACCTCAGGTATTGCACAGTTGGCGTAGTAGGGCTTCAATTTCCCCTGGGCTGCACAGAAATGCTTTAGATCAGCTCCATAAACCACCATCTCTGTTCACATCAGTGTGGACTGTGGAGTCATTTCTGGCTGCTTTTCTTTGGTTTTGCAGAAAATATCAATGACTAGTTCTGCAGTAGCTATTTTGGCATGCATGATTCCTCTGACTGAATGTTTAACATATTGAGTATGTTGTGAGAGAATCTTGAAATGTTTTTGCCATTTGAACATCAGACACCTTGTCTTGTAAAGATGTTTTTCCAAATCAATTATCACAAAAAATTCTGAAGGATTCTACAAGTCCTGATATAATTGGATAAACAAGGTTTCAATTTTCAGCTAGTACTCAAAGACTGGTACTTCTGGGATAACAGAAAGATAAGAGGAAGAGACAACACCTGAGACACAAAGATAAGAGACAGTACAATGCCTACATAATCAAACTGCAGATGAACAATCTAGCAGAAGAATCCATTCCACATTCAGGGGTGGCTCACTTATTTTTTTAAACATACATGTAGGTACATCATGATGTATGGTCATGACTTCAGCACTGCCCCTCCTTCTGTAATGGCATGTCCCATAGGTATCATGGGGTTTGTATGAGTTGTTGAGAACTTTAGCCTTGAAAGAGATTAAGGCGTCTTCCCAGTGCTTCAGTAAGGACAGGCATGATTACATTGTGTAAGGTGTTATCACGCTGGCGGCACATGTGCATGGTGCTGATAGCACTGTTGTTGTTACACTGATGGATGGCAGGATCTCACAGCTCCTTCTAACTTTCGATTGGCTTCTGAAGTAGTTTCTTCTAACAGTAATCATCGACAGTACCAGATGGCTACAGAGCAATCAACCACACATCTCATATAGGCTAAATTGTACTGAAAAATACCAAAAAGAGCAATATTGCTATAGTCTACAGTGAAGCACCATATTACTCTGAAATTTTGATATTGAACCTTCTTGGAATGACTTGGCAAAACTAAGGAAAGGGGAATCATTTTGAGTATTCCCTTCAAAGGTAATTGATCCCAAAAGCTGCGACAATGTCTGGAGATAGCGTGAATTGGCTGGCAGTCTCATGATATCAGGGATATCTACTAGTACTTCTATCTCTGGCTGTTGACGTCATGTATTCCCTCACATCCTGTGCGGAGACTCAGACACAACTGGCAATGGCACAGCTCCAAGATCTGTCAGACTTAATTTCCTGTGCCAAACAGCCATGTCATGACTGGAATCCCACTCTATGTGTAAACGCAGTCCCAAATCAAACAGTGCTCTTGTATTGGCACTCATTTAACAATAAAAAAAGTATGTTTGGCTTATTTTCTTCTTCTTGGTCAGCTGCTAGTTGCAGACGACTGTGAGCTTTGCTAGTCCATTCTATTTCCGGTAAGATTGGCAATCTTGGTAGGTTGTTGCAGTCTCCAAGGAGCCGTTAGTTGAGTATTTATGCCCTTTACAGATAAGAAGTATTTTTGTGCCCCTCCCACTCTTCTGTCGGTGTAACACAGACTTCCACAAATCAGGATTCCTCTCACAGCAGGGATACGTGTGTCTTAGTCAGACAGACACTCCTGACCAGAATAGCAAACACTGGTAAGAGACCTGACCTGAATGCTAAACACCAGTAGGAGATAAAAGAGGCCATTTCCTAGCCTACAATCAGTAGTGCAGATTGCTAAAGGTCACCCGGGTTGAGGTTTGGCAATACTGACTGTCATAAAGCCTGTATGGGTTGGACCAAACCGGTTTAGACCTGACTTGTGAGCAGTGGGCATGTAATTGCACCAATGTTTTGTACGTGAGGTCTTTACAGGATATTTAGTGTAGCCAAGAAACTTTCTCAGCAAATCGTGATAAATATACAATAAACTTACTGCTCTTTATTTTACAAATTATTGTTACTATTACAGAAGTAAGCACTAGTACAGACATTTCTGTGGAATGTTGTATATGATAAATGTTGATGTCATTCCAAATTACAAATTAACACTTGCACTGCTGCCATAAGCCCCACACCTCATTAGTATCTTGCTAACTAAATCTATCGAGGTTTTACTCAAAGGTTTGTTTAACATTGGCCAAACACTCTTTTAATGGCTAAAATTATTACAGTTTATGTTGTACTAAGATATGATTTTAATCTGATGGGTTACACTGTTGGGACACTGTCTTTTGACCAAATAAACCATTGATATGTAAACTTTCTATTTTACACGTATATTTTGGTTGAAGTGTGCAGTTCAAATTCTATTGTTTCCATCCCGGATTATTAATGATAAGAGCACAGATGCAGACTGTGGGAGAGCAGACCTCCCTCCAAGCAGATCATGGCTCAGATTGTTCATGATAACAGCACAGATGCAGACTTTTCTGTTGTATACCTGCAGTAACACACCTTCAGTAAAACCCCTCCAGCTAGAGCAGACCTCCCTCCTAGTCCTAGCACATTATGCCTGGCCTGCCGTTCGTCATATCGAGGGAGCCGACCAATCAGCTCCATGGACTGGAACTAAACGGGGAGGCCGCGCTGCAGCAGGGATGCGAGGCAGACGATTACCATAATGCGATGAAAATGCTCCGTCATGGCCGCTGCCCGTCTGACTGCGTCGCTCTGCCGCCCGCCCCCGTTACGCTTCCCTCCCCTGTAATGAGATTTGGCTGCTCGGATGAGGCCGGATAGATGAGTGTACCCAGCCCACCTGTTGTCAGTATATTGTTTGTTTTTGTGGTTTTCTTGTCTGTGGCCATCTCTGTCTTCTATATCCTCCTGGTCCTGAGCTGTATTTCCATCTGTATCACCTTGATTGCCCTTCAGGTAAGGGAAAACATACAAATTACCGTCTCAATTAATGTTAGAACTTGGGTTATATTACTGTATCAGCGCTAATTGGATTACGGTGACTCCATCCACGCTGTCTCTATTAATAATGCCTGTAATGTAATCAGATCGATGGTGATACAACTGCAGTTACATGGCAAATTGTTTTTGTTTTCATGGCTCCGAATATTGCATGGTTCATCAGCTTTGCCGTGTGATATGAGGATGCCTATTGGTTATTACTGCATACTGTCTTTAGTCTTAACTCTAATTCTAATTTTGACAGAGTTGAAATCTTGCCAGAAACCTCCAGTGCAACATACTGAATCTGTTAGTCCAAATCAAAACGAACAGCTCCACCGAGGGAACTGTATAATGTGCTGTGTATTTGCCAAGAGACATTTTGGTAGCAATATAGATGGTACCTCAGAAAGGGTATTCCTTCCTCCCCATTCCTGTATGATTGTAGATTATTCATAGCAGAGATATTGGGAGAGATGAATATAAATATTATTTTTTAGGCACAATGTATTTGTTATAATATGCTACAGATCAATGGAGGATCTTTATTAATTGTTATACTCATAGTGATATGCCTGGTAGAATACGAAAATCCTATGATACACAGGTTGTTTTTGTGCTATATAAAGACGCAGAAATCACAGTGAAATCCGCAGTCAGTTCTTTGATTATACAGTTTGGAGATCTACGTTCAGTATACATGACATAAGCCCCATGGGTCCCCTTAAACCGCCAGTATTGACGTACCGGGTAGTTTTAGTATACTGTGCAGACTGATACAAGTCTTAATTGTCATTATGAAGCAAGTTTCTCAGAAAATTCTTTGTGTGACACACCCAATAATCAGTAGAACACTTTTTGTTACCAAGAGAAAGCTTGGATATTTGCATCTGGAGACTGATACAGATTACAAGGTCTGAGCTTTAATATATATACAACTGAAAGGCTGGCTTTGATTCAACTGCCTGAAGGCTTATACTTACGCAGCATGTTTGTGTAGAGCTTCTTAAGTTAGCCATCCTGCTTTTGTGTCACAAGATCAGTCGTTCCAATCCCAGTCTACATTAACCAGTATTCTAAAGGCTATTTTGTATAGTCCGAGTAGGATGGTAGTCTTTTTCTGGTGGTCATCATAAAATGCTAAAGAAGTCGGTCTCTTTTAGAGGACAATTACAGAATTTAGTGCACTCTTCTGAAAATAGGTAGGGGTTCCTTTGTAGGATGACCAATAATGTTCAAAAGTCACAAAGCCTCTTGTAGTTATCAACTTCAAGTATAATACTGGTGCTAACAGTAATCCCACATGACTTAAGTATTCTTTATTGTGAGATGTTGAGATCCTACAAATACCTGTACTTTACCTTGTACCCACATTATGTATAACTTAAAAGGAAGTGACAAGTTCTTTAATTTATAGGGCTTACTAGGCCACGTAGTCTTGACAATACTGTAAGCTAATTTTCCTTCCTTAGCTTTTGTACGGTCGCATCAGTTTTGAGGTCACCGTAGGATGTCATCCATATACATGTAAAAAAAAAAAGATATGGCCTTATGTGCATCCTGCAGGAGCATTTGTGTTATGCCAGTGTGTCACAGTATGTATGCCGATATGTTTTGCTAAAAAGGTGGTTATACCAGCTATACAGATGCAAAATAACAGTTATACATTAATGTTTTCACAGAAAAAGTACAATGAACCACTACCGAATGTCACATGGTGATAATTTGTGTTGTTATGTTGCAGTTATGTGCGTCCCACCTACAAAACCCGTCGGAGGCGGCGGGACACTACCAGGCCGTGTGCCGGGCGCTCGTGGCCGAGTGTCAGGAACTCACCTCCTTCCTCGCCAAGATATCCATGGGAAAAGAGGTCAGAGGTCACTCAGAGCTATAACTCCATGCTCGTATTTTCCGCATAACGTCATGTTACAAAAGCAATAGATTGCTTCTTCCTTGACAGAGTTGTACAGTTGAAACTTAGGGTTAGTTCAATTTCTTGTGACAGAAATTACAGGTTAAACTTGCTTCATAATGAAACTTTCATGATAAAAACTTTCATAATAATAACTTTTAAGATAAGACTCTATCCTAATGTTTGCAATCACATCTGATTTTCTACATGCCCAGGCCCTGCGAGAAATGGCAGATGAGATAGGGGATGTGGATGATGAAGACCTGGATCAACTTCAGCTAGCAAAGGAAGAATGGGTGAGAAATGTCTCATGTTTCCATCAAAAGTTGCATATCATATACAAACGTATAATCATAGATATGCAAAGCTTAACAGTTATGTCATGACTGTTTGTTTGCTTTCTTGCTCTGATTATGATACTTATAGTTATACTTATTTTTACTTAGTATGCACAAGAAACATAATGCTATGTGTGATCTTCTGCATTGTAGATAATACTTTCAAACCAATGAGCAAATTGTTTTCCCCAGGCACGGTTGTGGATGCAGGTGATGAAAGACTTGCGCTCGGGCGTGCACCTGAAGAAGGTGGTGGTGGAACACAACACGGGCCCCATGGAGTGGGAACTCACGCCGTACGAGATTCTCATGGACGACATCAGGTCCAGAAGATACGTCCTCAGAAAAGTCATGGTAACCAGCAGTCTCTTTTTTGCAACACCTCACGGGCGGATTCAATCTTTATAGTACTACTTGTTTAGGCCTTGTAGGAATGTAGCATTGTGGATGTGCTTCAGCTTCTGAAGGATGAATCAAGAAGTGTGTGAAAATGTTGGTCCAGGAAAAATTTATTTTTTACCTTCCTGGTCTGTCCTTACATGCTTTGGACTCTGCCTTTCATCCAGCATGTAATTTGCGTACTGATTACCTGATGCATTAGCTACAGACATCTATAGCTTTTATTGTGGTAAAATTCTTCCTCCCTATGTCAGCTATACTGGGCACTTGATATTGCTGGGTTACTAATTGTACAAATTGTATGCAACTCACTTGAGTTTTGAGGCTGATTATCAGGTAAATGCATGTCTACTTCTAGTATTCTCAAAACTCCTTGTTCCAAACATGTTCCATCCCTTTGAATTTGGGCGTGTCAAGAAGTGCAACTCGCACTGGTAACAAGGTGCTGTACGGTGTGCAAGGACTTTCTGTTGATTCTCAGTCAACCTTTAGTCAGACTTCTTTTATTTCATATTGTTTTCCAGCCAGAGGAGATGAATCAATGGGTGAGTGATGTAGAGAGCAGGTGGGAGGAATGCTTGAACTTCGTGTCAGTCAAAGTAACCAGCAAGCGAGCAATCCTGCAGCTAACATGTCTGTCCGGCTGGCATGGCAAACGCTGCGCTGCAGTCTTGACTAATCTTGTCACAGCATCTTGTCTCATATCTGTCCTCACAGACTTACAGAATGGCATAGTTACTGCGGCAGTGCGCTTGTTGTTGCACGACAACCTGGGGGTTTATTTAACCTTTCGTCCTAGTAGTTTGTGTGATGTGCGGAGTATGTGGACTTTGTGTGTGCAAAAGATATGGGAATGTTGGGTTGTATTTGGCATGGATGGTTTGTTGTTGGAATGAGAAGTGAATTGGAAAGAGAGATCGAGGTGTCTGTGAACTGTGACCGTTGCATGTTGCCACTTGACCTCTGACCTATGACCCCCAGGTTGATGGTGAGCCGCCCCAGGTCATGGAAAAACTCCAGAAGAATGCTCACGATGTCATCCTAGAATTTATCCGATCGCGCCCGCCGCTTTCAGCAGTATGTATTGAACTTGCTTGTTTGACCGTAGACTAATGATCTCTTACAACTACTACTTTGTAGATGACAACATTGAACCTAATGTAATGGAATGACTGTGCCAGTGTGATGTTAAAAGAAGAATGCTTAAGATATTTTCTTTATATACATGTAACACTGTAAGTGTAAGCAGTAGATTTGATTTGTCCAATTTATGCATTTAAGGATCTAGACTAATTTCTGGAATACCATGTATGGCATATACCATATTTTTTAGCAATATACATGTATCTACTTTAGTATACAATGTACATGCTTCTGAATCAATAGTATACAATCATACGTTGTACATTACACAGTTTATATATATTAGGTACAGTCACATGAGTCATATTATAGTTGAGCGTATAGATAATACTAGTCATGACTCCCTTCTATTTAACTTAATAATATTATTATTGTTAACTGTTACATAGTTATGCAAAGTTTTTCGTGTCCAAGCAAGGACTCCATGCCTACTGCTAAATGCAACATACAATATTTTACCTAGAAGTGCAATATCATTACTAATATATTCCAAACATGCCAGCTAAACTCAATGTGTGTATCACAACAAATGAAGCTAACATACACACATCAAGCTGAACCTAACATATACATAACACATAGCACTTACATGAACATACTAAACAAAAGCTAGCTAGCTGTGCTTCTACATTGTATATTCTCCTATATGGCCCAAGCAAATGCTAATGCAGCTCTATACTTAGCTAGTGTTACAGCCAAATCCTAACTCCTTAATTTAGTTACTAATACATTTTGCATTGCTGATGCTAATATAATTGAACTTTTTGCATTACAAAATCAAGTACAAGCACCACACCAAGTTCAACCTACAAGCTTTCAAAACCTGCTTACTGAAATATCACTCCAAACTCTGAGCCATTATCTTTTTTTTATTTCGCAGTGATTTTCCTTCAGTCCACTGCTTGCCAGTTTAAAACATGCTGGCTTGGCTTGGCTCACCACCTGCAAAAGTTCTCATTTTACAAATCTTTGAATACTCTGAAAATCTTACTTCTGTCTTTCTGTTGTCTCTCTGGCACGCTCAGGCACACGTCTGGAGATACCTTGAGGTACAACACCTTCAGAACTCGTCTTTGTCATAACATCTTCTGTCTGTCTCTCGTTTGTGATCTTACAACCGTCTTGAAGAAAAAACAAAATTTTCCTGACAAACACACTGCCAGACATGACAGTTAAACACTGACAATGTTTCCCTCTTCGAAGAAATATTTCCTAGCACTACACAATGTCATTGTCTTATTACATGTACATGTTACTAAGTGTCCTATTTACTATGATCATGAAAGTTCATCTGTGTTGGTAATTACATGTTTAAGGTAAAAACTTTGTTCCAACACAAAAAGAAATTTCTCACCAAGAGCTTTCGAGCAGCCACTCAGGTCTTCTGCAATAGACTTATTGAGACTTGTCACATGGCTTCTCTGAAGTGTGACGTCAACACTGGGTCAAAGGGGCCGGCATCTTGTACCAGATTCCTCTGACCCAGTGTTGACATCTCACTGGGTTTGTCTACTGAGGAAGACCAGAGTGACCGGTTGAAAGCTCTAGCCTCTAAGTGAGATTTTCCCCTTTTGTGTTGGATCAAAAGTTTTACCAGTTCTATTTAGTTGAAGGCCCATCATTCCACATATTAGTACTCATTCTGGATATTCTGGTATGATGTTAAGGTGGCATATTTTTTGTAAACCATAGTCTCTTTAGCCTGGGTACCATCCAGATTTTGTCTCTGCAACGCTCGAAAAAAATGCTGATTTTTTTTTAGCGTTGCAGAGCCAAAATTTGGATGATGCCCAGGCTACGCAGTCACTGTTCAGTGTCATTGTTAGAACTATACCTATTTTATTACATTCCATACTTGGTTACGTCACATCACATCACTTTCAGGGCTCTCTCTGCTCTAAATTTTGTCAGTTTGACAGAGCAAAGTTCTTTGTCAAGTGCCAAAGGGGTGTCTGGTTTAAAGGGTCCCTTTTGTTTTCTCCAAGTATGTTCACGTTAGGTGGCAATGAAAATTAACAATGATTAGTCAAGACTTCTAAATCCTGTGTAAAATCTTGTGGTTGAGTGTTTAAAACAAACAAGAATGGTTTGTGTTTTTGTGTGAAGGCCATTAGTGACATGTAAAAGCCTATATAAAGACATTCGTAGGTATACAACAGCTTTAAACCCAAGAAACAAGGTAAGCAGAGATGGCAGACTTCGCCCCTTCACTTACATCAGAAACACACAGGCAGACATGCCAAAAACAACACAATAAATGTAGAAAAGATTGTCAAAAGAAACTACATGTAGGATGTAGGAGTTACATAGTACATGTATTACTTAAAATTTAAAGTAATTGTTAACTTTAATTGTTAAGTTATGTAGGAATTACTTAAGATGTTAGAATACACCAATCCTGCTAATTTGTTTATTGAAGCTGTGGTCCTCAATTTGCCTTGCTAATAGGATAGCTCATTCAACTTAACATGCACACAACAAGAGCAAACTGTGGCTCCCAAAGTGGTAACAGCCAACTGTGTATGGACAAACCTTCAAGTGACATACAGGGTTGATTCAAAACACGTACTTGCAGTTTCTATGGATTCTCAAGTTTATAGATCATTGTACAGTTTCATATTCTAAAGAGTACACAAATGCTGTAGATATTGTGTGTAGGCAGTTGAAAGAAATGGATGCTAACATACAGACACTGCACATGACTTGTTTTAAGTAGTCCAGCATTATATACAGTCACTTCTGGTAAGCCCCTAATGTACATAACATCAAATTACAGAGTCAGACTTCAAACAGAGCAGAGTTCAAACTGCAAAACGTTCTCCCTTGACTGTTAGTGCGAGGTTCTGAGGCTGTTCCTGGTCGTGTTGTTTCCCCAGGCTAAGAACCGCCAGCTGAAGCCAGCGCCGCCGGAGGAGAAGACGCTTCACGAACGCATCATGGACGAGATAAAGGAACTGCCCAAACTCAAGCCTGTCAGCAGAAGGAATCAACTGGTCAAGAGTCAGACAAGTCAGTATACGAATAGGGTTACAGGCTAAGTTCTAAATCATGCTAATCTTCTATAGCCTAAAGATTTACATTTTTGTAGATACCCAGTACTTGACATGTATTAGATTTCTGTTCTTTGATCTGGTAGACTTAAATTCTCAGATGAAAGGGTACATGATTAATTATTGTTGAAACAAAATTTACCAAGGTATTCTATGTTTCATGTGATAGATAATCATGTCAGGTATCTCATAGAGCTGATGTTGAATAATACACTGTTTTTTTTAAAGTTTTGGCTTTGACTGTGAAGTAAAGGTTGGGCCTATTTGCCGGGTAGAATTTTGGAGAAGAATTAAGATCATGAACAGGCTGAGCTCACAAGTGAAGTCAAAAAACAATCTTTGTTTGTTCTCCTTGACCAGGAATAAAGCTTCCATTTCCTGAGATTCAGGTTTTCTTTTCGGATGGTGAGTTTTTCACCTTGATGTTCCGGCCATGTATGGTGGCAGGTCATGGGAGAGGTTATGAGTTGCTGACGGTGTTAAAAGGGTACAAAAGGTACAGGATAGCAGTTTTGGTGGCTAAGGGAACATGTACAAGAAAGGCAGCTTGGAACGGGTTGGTTTGTAAGGACTTTACACCATCTTCCAAGGAGCATTCAGCATGAATTGGCTTTTCATACAGGACCTGGTTTGTTTTTGAAATATCATAACAGCAGAGCTAATGCTAGATTCTTAGATACTTCTTTATCCCTCTATTCCTGAACTCTGGCCATAAATACTGTAGGTCATTTCATCTGTATAAGCATTTAGAAGTATGTACTCAAGATGTTTTTTTTGGGGGGGGGGATGTTTATTTGTTGATTTCGTTTTTCATATAATATCCTTTGTTTTTTGTACACCCTTCCACATTCTCTTCACCTGCTTTTGTTTACCAAACCACCGTCACCTCCATCTGGTAAGCCTGATAATCTTTTGTACCTTAAGTACCAGGGCATGCAAGTTGTGTGCTGTTGTTTTCGATCTGTGACAAAGAAGCTTTTTTCATTAGTACCAGGTAATTCTAATCACAGACTATTATAAGAAGGACAGCTGTTGCTGTTTAAGCAATAACATGATTGTCTTTTTTCCCATCCCAGTTGACATTGTGCGGGTCAAAACTGCTTTAGAACAAGAGGAGGAGGCAGAGGAAGGGGACGAAAATGACGGGTCGCCCACACCGAAGAAGAAAATCTTGAAAGCCCCAGATTTCAAATTCAACTGGGATTCAGAGGTTAGTCGAATGAGATCCCACAATGTCAATAGAATAGCAGTTTCCAGTTGGTCTTCTTCACTAATAAGTTTGCTAGTTGTTCCTCTACTCAATTCAAAGGCATATCATCAATGCTTGCTTGCATGGGCATAGCTATATGTATGTAGGTTTGTGCCAACTACAAAATGTATACAGTATAATTTGTATTTTTTCTATTGATGCAAGTGGGTACTTTTTCCTGAAGATGAAAAATATTGGTCATTGAATGCTTCTAAACCATACATGTATACCCTCGCATTGCCTTTACAGGAAGAGACAGACTCTGAAAAGGAAAATGAAGATTTCTCTGGGTATGATGATGTCAACCCAAAAAGAAGAAAAGGTGAGATGAAATTCTGAGAAACAATTTGTCCTGTCTATCTGTCATTTATCATTCTCAGTCTGTATCTGTCTCACGTACACTCATTGGAAGTTGTGAACTTCTCTGCATGCACAAGACACACTACAAAAGCATGTATGTCACACTTGTCCATCTGCTTACAAACTTGCCATTAAGACATTCCTACAGGAGTTCAAGCCTTGGGCCGGTGTGTAACTGAACAGAAGGAGGGAAATATTGTGTCCAGCTAAGAACCTTATTATTACATGTATTGATTAGCCGTAGAACTGATAGGAGCACTGGAGTAGTTAAATGTTACATTCTATCCCTGATACCATTTTTCACTACTTTCATTCCATTGTGTTGTTTTGTTGATTGTGTACTTTTGTTTCAGTAATCCCAAGTGAAACACAACATTGGCAATTAATCAACTAAACAAAACAAAAACAGTATATGCTGGGGTTGGTGATGGTTTAATGGGCAATTTTTAACATTTATCAAGATTTACATAGTGATTGGGAAATAAGGAAATCATTGCTTTTGCATCATCCAGCTTATTTTCTGCTTAGGTGGCAGTGTATTACGGTGTACCTTATGTTTATTTTCTCACTTATTTATCCTGTTAGAGCCCGATTTCGACTTTGACCCCGACCCCGATCTCCCCGTGCCCGTAGACACGGTTGTGCGGTTCACGCGCACGGCAGGCGTGTGGGATTGGTTACGGGCCTCCTTCTCTGACTGGGTGGTGTCTCTACTTGATGCAGGGTTCCAAACACTCGAGCAGATCTGCGCCTACCTCTTCCCAGGTGCACGCCGAGGGCTTTCCAAGCTGTTAGTGGCCGTTAAGGGCTTGGGTACTATCCGCGCACAAATGCAGGCCACTACCCCTTCCACCTACCCTGATCTACCTTCTGACGACGAAGGTTTTTTTTCTTTGCTCTGCATCTTTTCCCTGATTTGATTTCTTCGTAAATTTGCTTTTCCCATTTAGTTCATGCCTTGCTCTCCATGTTTTTATCTTCACGTGTCTCTTAAGATTTTTGCGTTTCAAGAATTGTTTTCCTTTTCCGATTCCGTAGCTATCTGTACGATATGTTGCTTTCCCTGTGCAAGCTTCTGTAGTTGAGTTCCTACTACCCAAGCCCTAACGACCGTCGGCAGGTCTGCCATAGCTTATCCAATTTACAACGACACTTTCGCTGCAATTTTCTTGGATCACATCCAATTTTGTTCGAGTCATAACCGCTCATTTGGACCTGGCCATATTTGTCAGGCTGAAGCATTATGGCAGCCCTGTGTGTAGGTGGCCTAGAAAGCCCTAACGTCGCTTTCTCATTATCTCCTGATCGTACTAATAGAGTGACAATGACTAATACAGTCGTGCAAATTGGGTGCATTAACCATTGACTATATAATATGTAGGGTTTGGTGTACACACAACAATGAGGTCATTGTTCAATGAGCCATGGCATTTACGAATGAACTGTTGGGCCGCATCGTATTAGAGTACTGATTGTGCATGGCTGATGCCTTCTGTAATCTTATTGTTTGATTTGATTGCTTGATTTGATTGCCTGAAAAAGATTAATCTGTTTGCCTTAGTTTTATCTGCATGGCTCAATTTATGTTTATTTTCTGATTCTATTATCTTCGAATGTAGATCAGTTTAATCAGTGCTGATTTATTTTCTTACATATGAATTTCCTGTTTTTTGTTCTTGTTGTTTGTTTGTTAATGGTTTTTTTTGTGGTTTAACGATCCAGTTCTACCGGGCCAGACGGTTGACGACGGTAAGATATTCACGTTTCTGTAATGTTCATGTTTGTTGTGTTTCCCCACATTCAGTTGGACTTATGTTGCTCTTCCCATTTTGTGTTTTCCCCCATCCATTGTAGAGTTCCATGTTGTCGAGCAGCTTGGTTCTATGGGCTTGCTCTCTCCGTTTTCCACAGTGACTGACCTGATGTCGCCGCCGAGCCCGCAGCACAGGCCGCGGCGGAACAGCCTCGGGTCGGAGACGCCCACGCAGGAGATCGCAACGCAGAGCCACAGGGTGAGGTTTAGTGGCATGATGGGTAGTGGACACGGTACTGGTGGTGGTGGGCCGTACTACGGGTACATAGACCCTGAGGAGGCAAAACATGTAGGAACCGGTTTGTTGTCTTCGCTGCCACCGCAGAGGACCAGCTCAGCGGACTTTCCATATCAAACATTTTCATTTTTTTTAGGTCAGACATTTTGAAAGAATATCACTGAAAGGTTGCAGGACAGGGCACTATAATAATTATTTGGTGTACAGTTTTCCAGCCTTAGAATGAATGATCCAAAGACTTGATGAATGAAGAAAAGTAGATGAAATATTGCTGATAAAGGTTTTTCTCTTCATATGGGTTACTTTATTTGGGTTACTTTGGGTTACGTATTTATTAAAGATAATGAAACGTTATTGTAGACCATATGCCAGTATGTGTGACATATCGATTTTGAGACTATTCAGTCACTGTTGTAGTGTAAGTTCATCTTTTTAAAACGAATCCTCAGCAAAAAATACCGGGCAACTACTGCATGACTCTTCAGCATTTGCCATTTTAGGTTTACTTACTAGATTACTTTAAAGTTTGATATGGAAAAGTCCACTGGCAACTGTCCTCTACTTCAGGGGAGTGTTTATTTTCAGTTGAAGGACAAGGTAAACTTGGTGGCAGCACAAACCATTGTACCGGTAGTGTGGAAACATCAGGAGATGTTCTAACATATGACTAACCCCCTATGTTTTAACATGGGAAAGGTAGCTGGAAAATGAACACTTCCTAACGCAGCTTCCTTGCCTCTGACTGTGTTCAACCCTCAAGCTTTGGCTTGCTATAACTTCCCAGCAATCTTAACTTGATGCTACTACTGTATTTGCTGCATAATAGACCAATCCTCACTCTCTATCAATACAAATTGACCAATACCAGACTGGTTGCTTGAATGACAAGTTTTTGCAATTCTGCCTATTTGTTTTGCATTTGCTGGCATTGGCAGAATTGTGTGATTGGTCTATTGTGTCTGAGGCAGCCTTCCTTTTGAGCTGCTCTCTCTCATCTTAGCACCCCTGTTTTGGAAGTGGGCATGTCCCCTCCAAGGAGAAAATTGGCACCTTTTGGGTGATACCACTTACGAACTGGGTGTTTAAGGTAGATTGAGCATTCAAGAAGGAAGAGGGAATAAATATGTATCAGTATCTCTGCTGGCTGGCTTTCTATGCTGCAGGCCACTTTTCCCCACATCTGCAATAGCACTGTCTTCATGGCAGCTTGTCATGTGATCACGTCTGTTCTTGTCTGTGATTTATGATATTAATACTACTCTGCACTATTGCACTGCTAAAACTGTCGCAAATCTATAACAGATAAGTTATTGGTATCCTTATCAAGCTGTACATACGGTTTCGTACAACTGATTGAATCATACATGACGTTGTACATTGTAGATTTCTCAGGTATGGTACCTCTTTTGCAAATCAAAGAAATGGATGTTGAATATTGTGCATGTTAACAGAAAAAGTGACATTTCTGGTGGTAAGTTAAAACTTACTGATGTATTACTGCATCTTAGCAGTAATGAAAATGAAAAATGTGACTGTTAATCAGTAAAATAGATAAAAGTATTCCACGGAGGTAGGTACTATACTTTCATATAGATTTACTGCTATACAGATAAACTGGTAGTGGTTTACTGCTCCATGATCCAAAAGACAGCTGGGTATTGCTGAGTACTTTTGACATTTGGCTGAAAAGGCAGCATTTTTATCACCTAGACATGTTGGAAAGGGCACAGAATGTCATGCAGGGAAGAGAGCATGGGGCATGCCTAATGAACAGTAATGAGTCATATACATTTGTAGTGGCAGATGTGCCTTACAATGTAGCTCATTTACCGGTGTTGATGCCAGTTCCACAAAAATGGAGAGGGGGTAGGGGGTCGCATGTGCACGCCGACAGGAAGTGGAATTTCTATTCTTTGCAAGCTCCGAAGAGAAGACCACTTCCTGTCTATGTACACAAACACACAATATTAGGTAGTCGCCACCTGAAGATGTACATGTATAACAATGCTACAATAAATTATACGGTAATATCCTTGCTCCAATGTATTCTATTGCTGTTCAGTTGTAGAGTAAAAATACTTCATTACAGGAAATTTGAAAGTATGAAAACATATCTATCTATGGTACAGGTTAAATGTAGAGTGTTGATGATGGATGTATCTACAGGAGGCGTGGAAGAACCCGGTGCAGTGTCTGTCCCTGACCATTGAGGAGGTGATGCACATCAGAGAGGTGCTGGTGTCAGCAGAGCTGGAGAACCTGCAGGGCAGGAGGGAGATCTACCTGCTGCTCAAGAAGGGAAAGGTAGGGGGCGCTGTTTTCTGATTTGGGGACAGAAAATCTTTCATTTAGATTGTGTAGATTTTCCATCGTCAACATTGACAGTGTGGTCTTGAAAGCAAGTCTAAAATTTGAAAGTGGGTAAAAGAGTAGCTTGTTTTCAAATCACTGTTTCGGCAGTGTCAAAGATGTAAACTTTAAGTTGTGTTTAAGTCCTACAGTAACTTTACTTCCTTTTTTTTAACTCCTCAATAAAATTATTTTAAAAAAATGCAATGAGCAGACCAATCTGACCTATGGAAAATTACATTGGGCAACTGGGTTGCTACATCCAAAGATACTCAATTATTCCTGACAATTAGAGTAATGTAGGTACAGTGTATGCAGTACCCAACATGCCTTGAAGTCATCAGAGAAAGATGTTTACTGTATTTTCCTTTGTGTTCCAGATCTGTTTCTCCTGTAGATCTAAGAGATTTTCCATATTCAATTGGTCATATACCTGCAAGTTCTGTAAAAGGTGGGTAGAGTTTGTTGGTTATAAGAATTACTGTACAAACTGTAATTCACTACATCACATGGAAGGTTTCCCCACAAAGTTGGAAATGAAAGAAAACCCGGGTCAATTTTTACAATCATGTTAAGTGGTTGAAATATCTGTTATTTGGAATCTTCAGGTACATGTATGTGGTATTACAGTTTATTGTTTTCCATTTTTGAAGGCTAATTGTTTTCTCTTTCCCTGTTTGTTCAAAGGTGTGTCTGCTCTCATTGCTGTAGAAAGGTGAGTTTTTTTGCAGCAGGCGTCTTTGAAAACTTCAGAAGATGATTTCATTTCTAATATGCTAGTAGTTTTCTACTAGACGAACATAAGTGACATCTGCAAAGTTTGTAACAGCTTTTTCATGAGACAGGAAAACTTGGCAAGAACTCAACCTCTGCTCAGACATAATCATATTAACCCGTTTTCCAGATGAGAATCCCCACGGAGCACTTCTTGCGGACCCCAGTGTACACCCTGAGCCCCACCACCTCCCCCCACTCAAGCCCCTCCAACGCTGTGGACCAGCTCAAGGAGGACACCCTCACCAGGTAAGGCAGCAGCCCTCACATCCGCCATATGGTGTTTTTTTCTACAACTAACCTGGGTAACCGTCAGCTCTGATAGTCGCTATCCACAGTCTATTGGAGCAAATGGTACCCAGATTACTGGTAGTTTGCAACTGTGACAGCAAGTTAGGGACATTCTTAGGACTGAGTTGTGGATGTGTTGTATAAAATTCACACAGAAAAAGTTGTAGGTCCATGTCAACAATTCAATGAAAACTACAGTTACTATTCTCTTGAATACGAGCTTCGGTCAGAAAATAACACGAAATCTTCTTAACACAGTGACGGCAGCGTGGGAAGTGATGTTGAGAAGAGCAGTGTGGAAAGGTACAGTTAGACAGACAGGGTGACTTACACAACAACAGTGTACGTGGTAGTGGTACATGTAGTTACTGTTAGTAGTTGTTGTAGTGGTGGTTAGTAAATGTGTTTTGAAGTTGTTGTAATGTATTTTGAAGTGTTGTGGTTGTCATGTGATTCTTAACCGTAAGCCTGCTTACATGTAGGTGGCACCAAATTTGTTAATGGAGTTAGGCAGCAGGGAGAAGGTTAAAAGAACTAAAAGACAAATTCATCAGTAAGTCAAACCTGTAATTGTTAGTATGATACATCTATCAGAAATAGATAGCGTTCTAGGCCATGTCTAGGCACTCGTCTCTACATCGAAAATCCTAGTTGTACAATTTAGAAATAACACCAGGCAAACTCTCCTTATACACACAGCAACAACACTGAGGACACACAACATGTACCACATGTACACCTACACAGTGTAGCGGAGAACAGCCTGGAAAGGTATGCTCAAATTTCAGGGTGGATTACATGTGACGGGATAAAGAACAGGGTGGTGATGAAGAAGTGGATCAAACTAATCCAATGATTAACGCACAAAACAATCTTTCCTAATCAATTTGACAGTGGAATTTAACTTCTCCTTGTTTCAAGAATTAACCGGTGATTGGTAAAAATTTACATTTTGAAATATCAAAATGTAAGTTAAATGATTCAGTTGATTCTCCCTGATACAGAAACAACAACACTCCTGGGGAGGTACATGTACGTGTAACGTTACAAGTAGAAGACAGCCTTATGGAAAGGTACAAAGTAGTACAAACACTGCAAGGGGGCACGGTGTTGCAAACTATCATGGTGGTTCAATCCTAGCAAAGTGGTGAAAATGCAGGACTGGTAGTAATAGCCCCTTTTATTTGGTGGCTATCAACTGTATGCATATAAGCCCTTGTGTTTGCTATGAAGAATTTTATTTCCGAAGAAATGCCAAAGTGGTGTTTGAAAAAGTACAGTGCTCTTATTATTGGAAACTGCTGGGCAAGTAAAAGCAGCAACAGCAGTACTGTTTACATGTAGAATGGTGCAAAATGGTACTTTTGCAAAGCGACTTCATGTAGTTGTACAATGTGGGTATGAAAAGGTGAAAACAGTTTGGGTTAAAGTAATGGTGATCGTGATGTTTTAAAAGGTTTTAAAAGCTTTCCAAATATACACCCTATTGTTTATTGAACAAGATTCAGAACATTTTAAGGAAATCGTGCTTCTGGCTTTTTTTGCTGGATTTCTGCAGACAGGTAATTAAATTATAAATTGATTGTCTGGCAATGACGTCATGGGGAACACAGCAGCCAGTTTGGAAGCATTCATTATTATTTTGTGAGAAATATATTTTTGAAAAACAGTGACAAAGGATACTTCATACCTGTGAATAGTTTCATCAACTTGGTTACTGAATAAAGAGACTCTTTTTACACAACCAAGGAAGGTACAATGTAACAGACAGTCACCAAAACGTTGACTAAATAAACCTTTTGGATCTGTTAAAAGAGTCTCTTTATTCAATGATCAGGTGCTGTTTGCTTCTCAAAGGTACAACAATCAGTTACACAACAGTCAGGCTCACTCACACTCACTCACTATCCGGTTTATCCTCTGGTGTTCCCCATCATTCGAGGGTTAGATGAATGCATGTGTGGCTGATGAGACTTGAGTTGATGTTGTGTTCCTCTCCACAGCACCGGATCTGCACCAAGTACTCCCAACGCCTCTCCCAGCATCGCTCCCAAGATCCTGCGCCAGCCCTTCCTGGACAAGGCTCCCATGATGGACATCTGTGTGGACTGTAAAGCCTTCGTGTGTGACATCATCCGCGCCAGCAAAACCACGTTAGCGTACCACGCCAGGCGACCTCTGACCCGACACCAGAGCATCCGGCGAGACAAGTCCGCCCCTCCTCGAGCCAAGTTCGACCGCAACAACCAACATCGGTCGTCCGTGAAGTTTGACGCGTCGCAGCAGCAGGTTTCCTTTGAGAAATGAACCAAGAGCTACTAATGCTGTGTAAGACAAAAAATAGCAATGAAAATACTGCCGTGTATACCAAAATACTAAACCAAATTCATATTTTGTTGTTTCTGTCATTAGTCTTCTGCATGTATCCTTCATGTAATTGCTGATCATTTGTGTTCATTGGAAATAAGCAAAACTAATCTGTCTTTTGCTCAGATGCTCAAAAAGGGAAGAACTTATGTATGAAAGGCAACAAATTGACAGAGAAATCACATTCATGATTGTGTAATGTAACTGTAGAATAATGTTAATAATAGCAGCTCTTCGTGTTTTTACTTGAATGTACAGCTGAGGAGTGAACTTGTAGAGATATATGAGATAATAAGGATAGTGTTATGTACAGGACAGTGTATAATGAATGTGGGGCTCTGTCAGGTTGGAAACTTTAAAATTAAGAAAATGGAGATGATATCATATTGTTATCAATCTTTTAGTGCTACAAAGTACAAGCCAAATTGTTTCTCTGCAGTATAAAATCAATAGGACTTTTATTTATCATTATGCCACTGGGGAGAAAGGTGGAAGTGGCATTGGCTATATTTGGAATGGCTTGGAAAGTGGCAAATATCCCTGTCACCTTTTTATGTTCTTTATATCTTGTGTAATCAGTCCAAAATCTTGCAAAATGTGTTGCATCTCATTTGGTTTATGTTGAAAAATCTTAATGCTAAAAGATCCCAAACTGTCCTTACCAAGTGACTAGTGTGAATACACGATATAATTCTATTTACATGTATGATGCCCAGGGCTTGCCATTTTTTTCATATATCCCTTTTGTATGTCATACATTGTAGGAATCCACTGTTACAAAACAAAAAAGCTGCTTTAACAAGGTAGCAAACAATGTTATAATGTGTGTGTGTGTGTAACGTTACATGTGATGTTACATTGTACTACCATTATAGCTAGATTAGAGTCATACAATGTACACTGCATAATGACTTGCATAGTTGTTGTCAGTTTCTACTGTATTTTATGTTATGTTGATGTCCTGTAATACAGACATGAAAAAAATAACATTTCCTACAGACAAAAAGAGAATTCCCTGTCCATCCATTTCTAATTGCTACTACCTAGGACTTGTCTTGTGATAAATATCACTGGACTACTGTAGTACATGGATGGGGAATTCATTCTCGAAATCAAAAGCTCTGCTTAGAAGAAATGTTAGATATTTATTGAGCAAAACCAGTGACAAATAGGCAATAAGAAAACACAAGAAATGTCATTATATCAAAAACATCTATCTGACTGTACCTCTTGTCAACTAAGGAAAAAGGAGTTACAAAAGTGTAATATCTAATATGCATTTAGAACTATGTATATACGAAGTACAGTACCGTACCATGTACAGTGTTGGTTGGTAAGACATTGTTGATATTGAAATGTACCCAGCATGTAGATAAGGAATGAGGTATGAGTGTGTAGAGATAGGAGGGTCTGCATGTAAAGATGAACAGGAGTTGTAAAATGCCCCAGACTTTTTCCACAAGGTAAGACCTTTTGGTAGTAATATAGCAATGGTAACAATTTATGATGTTTGCCACAAAGATTCACTGTGTATCAAAATAATCATGACTTACGGTAAGTTTGAATTTACGCCATATGAGCCATTGATGGAGCTGTCTTCATATTTATTTGTAAAATTGCTGGAAATCATGTATATCCTGTAAGACAAATTGTTTTGTTCATTCAAAATCAATTTTTTTTAAACCTCATTTTCCGACGTTAAATTTGTAAAATGATACTTTTTTTTACTTTTACCATTTCCATTTAACTCATACCAGAGTTTCCTGTTTTTCTGACAAAACTGGCTAGATTAATCTGCAAAGTTAGGCTACCATTCTGCCACCTTTTGTAGTAACTTATTGAAAATTGTAAAATAAGTGTTACACAACCGTACCATGTATATTCCCTTAATAATCCATGAAACACAGTCATTTGTGTCTGTATAAAAAAATCCATGATCTGTCTGAGTATGAACATGTATTTTTCATCCTTGCAAAGCTTTGTTGTATTTTTCTATGGCTTTGGGGGAAAATGTTGCAATGGTTGAGTTGCAATTGGGTACGATTGTACAACCTTACCTTTAAAAATATGCCATATGCTATGGTCATTCTCTCATCGTAGCTAGATTTTGTACTTGCTTAATGGATATCTTCTATATTAGAAAACTGACACTTTGCTGCATACACTTGACTTCTCATAACATGTGAATGCGGTGCATGATTTTACAGTGTATACTATTAGTAGGTGTATAGCTACAAGACTGCAAGGCAAATAATACTACAATGAACTGTATGTACTACCAAATCATGATGTCTACAAATTGTATCGTGATTGACAGTTGCATGCAAACCAGGTAGCAACTTTTGATCAAAGCAGTAACGGCATTAAGTTTCGTTGCTGTAGCCAGCTGTGACCACTGTATAATGTACATTTTTGATTGGCAACTGCAAATTAGTCATTTCCTTCTGAATGTGGCTAATAAATGTCTAATCACAAGTCAAATACTCATGTATGAAGTGCAGTGACTTCTTCCTTGAGCTCATTTGCTTCTGTTGAGGCCACACAAATTAGTTAAACATGTAACTGGTTTGGCTGATTTTGTGCATGAAAGTGAAGAAAATCAATCCTACACACCAACAAGCTAATATGAATAGCCTCATATGCAAATCAAAGTAGATCTGTTAAACCAAAATAGTGACAGCACTTCTGTACCTGGACTATTATAAGTTGTTGCTAAGGCACGGTAGGCAGTTATGATTTTGCGTCAATGTGCAGTGACCAGGTACCCCTTGAGAAACAATAAAAGTATAATGTGTTCTTTTATTGTACATATTAACTCTCTTTATAATATCTTTCCATGGCTTGGAATTACATGTTCGAACAATTAAAAAACAGATTCATACATGCACACTAGTAAAACCATAGCTCATTTGAGGATACCTGGATGAAAATTAAAAATGAGCATTTCTACTGTTCAATCTTTACCATTTACACTGAAACAAAAATAGTCATCTGTATCCTATATAGCCGGTATAACCGCCCCTCGGTGTAACACACCAGCTTCACAGGCATGCTGCACAGCAGCAGCTGGCTATATTATATCAATTACACCAAACGACTTGTTCGACCTAGCCTTTAAACAATTAACTGTAAACATTGTTTAAAGCTACTAGTATTCTTGTGCTTAATCGGTGTGGAAAGAAGTATCCTAATCCACACACTGCTTCAGCAGCAAATGTCAGGAATGTTGAAGATTAACCCTACGAGTGTCATGGCTCATAACAATGCCCAATACAGAATTGACACTTGGAGAGTTCAGTGTTTTCAGTTCAAAATCAAATGTGGTCCATCCACCATTGCTCCTCTTGGAGCCATCCATTTTATGGAGAGAATCTCAGAGTATTTCTGCGATATCTCCCATGTCACACTCCAGCAGCAGGGCATGTAATCTGCCTACAGTTGCATCTAGCTTTACTGCCCAGGACTGTAGCAGTGTTTCAGCTGGGTTTTCCTTTCGCTGGTCCCACAAGGAAACATAGTGTGGCTCGAATCCCAACTTCTCCACGAGTAGCCTCCAGTCTTTACCTAAAGACAGTCAGAAGGATATGTCAAATTGAAATTATGTTAATTAGATAGCTTAAAAAGCAGTAAAGTATCTTACAGAGCTGATTTTCCTATGAAATATAGATCTATTTGATTTAGCAATTCTATTGAGGTTGCAATACAAATCTGCTTTAGAATTCTAAAGTTTGTAAAAAGCAAAACATTACTACTGGCTATTAATACTACTAGTTCATGCAGTACTGCCTATTGCTGATAGGAGGCAATTGTGAGAAGCTGATGACGTGATTTTAGTTGGTAACAGGTCATCCACCTAGCACTAGTGACTGGCCATTTCAGGTGGTAATGGATGCATTTGAAAAAACATTCATCATTATCAATGATATTAACATGTAATACTAATTCTAATCATCACAATACAATGAGTATCATGATAGTTTCTATTCCAGTAGAGGACATTAATAAGTACATGTGCACATGCAGAACTTACCATCAGGCTTTTTCACACTCAGCATGCTGGTTAACCTGAGGCGAACCGTGAATGGCATTTTTCCTATATGAAGGCTGGGGTCCAGCTTAGGAGGGCTTGCTTGGGGTTTATTGGAACTCCCATTGTCTGTAGTACTAGTGTTTGGTGTAGCACCATTAGAAGGGCTGTGTTGGGGTTCACTGGGTGTGATGTTTGGTGTAATGGGTGGTGGGTTGGTGTTCCCCATAGCTCCTGTTACAGGACAGGTTCTGCCTGCTAACTGTAGTTGTGGGTGGACATCAGGAGGAAGACCAGGTTGTACGTTGGAGCTAACTGTTGGCATTTCCAAAGAAGGTGGTGCTATAGAAAAAAAAAGAAGTAAGCAACTGTACAAGTTTTATTCAATATTGTGCTACTTCTGTTGTTTATACACTATAATCCTTCTTACATTTTGTCCTACGAAAGGCCCATTGTACATTTATAAAATGATTACAGCTATGCAATTGTAGCTCTCTTTGAAGATCTATCAACTTTTTCTGCTACAATTTACATTATGTTACATGTTTTTAAATATTCTGAAGCTACCTTGCCTCTAGAACAAAGGTCAATTGATGTAGAGAATACAAAGGAATGTAGAAAAATACATGTACAGTTTGTGATCTACCAAACAACGTACATGTACATGTATATCATTATTATAAATACAACATGCTTAAATAAAACTTGAAATAAACAGACAATAGACAGGAAATACCATAAACAGCTGTAGTCTCACCATCCACAATATCGTCCTCATATCCAATCTTGTTAATAACATTGTCTGTACCAATCTGTACATTTTCCACCTGACTGATGTTGTAGACATGATAGTGAATAACAGGAGGAGCTGCTGCTCCACCTTTACTAGGATCTGCAACAGAAAAAAATTATCCATGTTAAGAAGGACTTCAAGGGGAATTTAACAAGTTACTTGGTATTAATTTCTCACCTGTATTTCTCACCTGTAGCCGGTCAATAGGTACCCTGTATGGGTAATGAGACCGCACTTCGGGTAGTTTCGGCGGTAGCAATTCTTCTCATGTGTTCAGTACGTAAAGGTGTAGTTGTACATATCCTGGTGATTCTTCCACTCGTGTGCAATATGGTTCTTGAACTCATTGACTGATTTGCTAGACACTGCTTCCTGGGAAAGAGAGTTCCACACCCTTGTGACTCTTGAAGAGAAGAAACACTTCCTCGTCCCATGTGATTTTTGTACTTGATACTTGAAGGAGTGGCCCCGTGTGGTGGTTGAAAGACTGGGTTCAAACATGGTCCCTCTACAAATGCTGCAGCTGTTTCCAACTCTTACTTTATCATACCCGTGTGTGATTTTGTAAAGCTGGATCACGTCTGTCCTTTGTCTTGGCATTTTGTTCCAAATCAGTGAAAATAAGAAATTTCAATCTCAACCAATTACTGTGTTCTCAAAAAATATAAAGCATCTCAATATACTGACATTATGGCTGTTTTGCCTTATATATATCACAAAGAATATTGTAACAGCCATGGTTAATAATAAAAATGCATCTCCACACAAGTTTTATCACCTTCAGCTGGATCCATCCTTGAACTTGAAGTCACTGGCAAATCCAGATGCGGGGATTTCTGTTGTCGAGACGAAGTCCAAGTTCACACAGCTTCTGCTGGGGAATTTTTCACCGACTTTCACACCTGGTTGAGTTAAGAATCACCTTGGTAACCAATGCCAATCATAAGTCATACTGGGGACAGTACGGAAGGACTCCTTGGTTTTGTCAGTAGGATTTGTCAGTACAGGACTTAGAAGACACGGCACAGGAATGATGGTCTGGTTCAGTCTTGCATCTCTTGCATGTTCCTAAACTATCTACATGAAGGCACACACTGGTTTCTGACAACAACTATCCTAGCTGTCCTCCAATAAAGATGGGAGGGGGGCACAAGGAAGTAAGTTTCGGTAGTTCTGAAACTCGTGGTTTGCGGGATCAGCATGCAGCACAGGCCTGTTCTCTGCTAATTTCTGATGTACACGAGAAAACGTCCACAAGCAGCTTTAGTACAGAGAAGTTCTTCAAAAATGACAAGATGACGGTCAGAGGAAAAAGCGAGTTCCTCGTCTGGTTTTCCCCTTCTTGTACCCGGAAGTTGACTTGCTCTCCAACTGGAAGTCAGTGCTATTTATAGAACATGACGTCATGTCAACAAAAGATGAATTTGTTTGTGGTTCACTGGTTACATTACGACAACGTGTACAGAATATCTATCAAGAATAAAAAGCAGTGATATGGAAGATTATTTTCACAGTTGTACTTTTCTTTGTTTGTGTTTATTTTGCTGAAAAATGATACATAAAAATGTGACCGGAAGTACGTCACAATCGAGCCTCGCTTTCACATGCCGAGCATGCGCGCGTTTTACTCGCCATTTTTAGCTGCAGACGGACCCTTTGACCCCGTTTTGACCGAAAAACAGTGGTTTTAGGACAAAATAAAGCCTCGCCATGTCGAAGCTGGAGCAAGTGTTAATCCTAGAACCTTCCGGGGAGCTAAAATTCAAAGGTAAGCTCTTCTTATATAATCTAGAAGGTT